CGGCTGCAGCCTCTGCAGCCGAGGCTCTGCGCATCTTTTACGTATGCACGAGCATAAGCATAACGCAAAGGGGAACATGGGTAGATGATATCGTGGATGCACCTACGGGGCCACGGGGCGTCGACGCGATTCCTTTGTCCTCGTTCTTGGCCGCTCGTTCTTCTTGCTACAACCACTTCGCCCCCGGACGACCTCTTGGTGCACATTTTGTTCGCGGAAATACCATGCCCAATCTCCCGCATCAATCCAAACCGGCCTTAGAATTGTATCAAAGAACACGCTGCGTGGCGGCTACCGTACTTGAAAGATTATCATCTTGATCCGCGGGAGGCGCTTCATATTTACCTTCAACCGATCCTTTTTTTGTCCTTTCTTTCAGACACAAGTATCCTCGCGGTTGTAATTATTTTAATCGACTCGATCGCCACGTGACTTATGTTACAAAATACATTTTGATCACGCTTTTCGTGTAATTTTGCAAATTTCTGTTTTTGGTTATATCGCGTTGTATTATCCACGCGTTGTATCACCATACTCCGTGTTACGCGTCGTATTTCTCTCGCGTTGTATCATCACGCGTTGTGTCGCAAGCGTGGTATCCACGCGTTGTATCGCCACTCGCCGTGTTATCCACGCATCGTATTATGTTCGTGTTATATCATCACGCGTTGTGTCACTGCGTGCTGTGTTATCTGCACGTTGTATCGCCGTGCATCGTGTTATCTACGCGTTATATCGCCACCGTCGAATTACCCACGCGTTGTATCGCCACTTGTAGTATTCTAGCCCTGCATTTACGCGTTACATCATCCATATTCTATCACCATACGAGCCTTAACTACGTAAGCTCTAAATCTAAGATCTCCAGACGAGTAACAGTGAAAAATAGCAATTTGAGAAACGAATGTTACATGTTAATAAATTTGACAAGATGGTACTACAAAAACCTTTCATCATGTGATAGATCATCGGAGTAAGTGAACGATAACTAATTGCTACTTGAAAATGCAAATAAAAATTATGTATGCGTGAAAATGCATACACGGGCACAACGTGTAATTTCGTTCGTTAATAATGTACTAACGAGCCATAATCATATTGTTCCGCTGAGAGTAAAAAAATTGTTAACATCATTAGTAATGAGTGCAATCGTTACTCCTCATGCATAACGCATAATACCCGTCAATTTAATTGCATTATAATTGTGCAGGACGCGATGGAATATGTAATTCACGATCCAGCTGTTAACTCGAATCTCGCAATGCGCGTAAAAAACGGCGACCAAGCAAAAAACGATTTTTCATTACGCGTTGAACGAGCGTGTATTAGCGGCGCGACGATTCGGTCGCATACAATTTTATTCTCCCACGCAAATATTTGCGAAACCTTTTAGCGATCTGATAGGTTATGTTTCATCGGGGTGAACATCCGGACGACAAACGCATCGCGCAAACTGCCGCTACCACGGTTTAAATGCTCTGACTTAACGCGGCGATGAGTTGCAGATTTTATGCAATCAACAGCACTGATTTTACGTTTCTTTTTATGCCTGTTCTATCGCATCCGACTTTAATAAGAGTTTTATTAACTCTCCGAGGACTTAGCGAAATGAAACGCTTTATGGAATTGCGGTCTAAAAATTCTGCCAATTTCCTGTGATTAAGATACAAAAGCTCAAAGTTGCAATCTTCATGATCGGTAGTTTAGGATACCGCTTAAAATTGCACCGTGATCGTTGATAAGTTAATGAGACTACATGAAATAGTAGATCGCGTTGAAGAAGATGGAGAGGATGATATTATCTCGCAGCAAGTTATAGTCTGTTTAAATAATTAACCATTTAACTAGTGCTGATTTAATCGCGATACTCCGATACGGCATATATACATGCGAGCCAAAAATGCATTAGCTATTTGCATAATACGTACGATCATGAACAAGATACGCGAGATAATCGCGCCGCTGTAATAAGAACAGTTCTTTACAACAATGTTTTGTAATGAAGAAAATGCTCTTACTAATCACCTACGGTGTGTAAAAATATTATACGCGAGACGAAGGCAGAAGGCGAAGAATAAGGGACAAACGTATATGCGTGCAGCACGCACGCACATCGCGGGACAGGAAGCGTCGTTGGTACCTTTATAATTAAACTTCTTTATCAATGATATTCTAATGAAACGTCTAGTAATAATTAAGTTCGACCCCTTCGAAAACTGCAACGGTCAAAACCTTTAACACTGCGATACTTAACCATCAACATTAGTAACGATTTACTTCATCGAAACGATTTGTTATATTTGATAACATCTCGAGAACATATTAAGGGGAGGAGCACATTAGCGACGTGTTAAATTTATGAGCGTAAAACAAGTGGCGATATAACACGAAAATCATAAGATACAGAGCTAAGAAATATTTTCAAATAACTTAGAAAGAGTCTAATCTAGAATCTCCTACGCGTGAAAATATGTTCCCTTACGTCTTCTCCGAATTAACTAAAAAAAGCCTAATTTGCATACAACCATTCGCACACGTCATATCGCGACAGAGATCTTGTTTACCGACAGGGCAATGAGTAGCCGGGAGCGGCGCTAGTGTGCCAACCATCAGTGACAAACATGGCGACGCCCAGCGAACTGTCTATCGAAGAGATTCGTCAATATTTATTGGAAAACGGTGGTACTGCACGCAATCACGACGTGGTGAAGCACTTCAAGAAATTCCTCACGGACCCTGAAACCCGAGGTACGTTGAAAATCCGCCGATACTCACAGCCGAGTGGCTGTCTCGCGTCTTGCCAAGGTGTGACCCGATTGTGCAGTGTGCTCGATGTGTAAACACGGAACGAGAGCTCCGATACCCGTCACACCCGGCATACAGTATATATCATAACATTCGGTGAGCAGTGCGATCGTTTACGTTACAGTGGAGGCACGGAATCGTTTCAAGGAGTACGTAAACACCCTGGCTACTATAAAGAACGAAGAGGTGCGTCATGCAGCAGTAATTTCCTTCCTGCCTTGACAGGAGCGACTTGTTGCGCGTTTGTGCGACGTTGCCAGCTTTTACCTTTCGCGCGCTACATGAAAACGATAACCTTATCTACTTCGTTTCTACTTTCGTTTACTTGCATATTTTTCTTTTCTGTTTGTCATATGACATTAATTAGCGTACTCAATTTTTTAATATATGTCTGTGACCAAATTTTAAATTATTCGCGCGGGCTCTGATGACGTAATCGCGTTAGCTACCGTTACATTCGACATACATTGTCATTTAGGTTAGAAGATATATAAATATATATAAAATATAGGATATTGTTATATATATTATATAGGTATATTAAATATTTTAATATATTAAATTTAATATTATATATTTTATTTGTTATTACATTACTTCATTTTGTCTAATAAAAATTGTTAATTAACCGCTGGTAGTGAATATGTTAGTAATGTCAAGCGAGTCTGAAACAATTTTTAAATATTAGGAACGTAGTAAACTTATCAAGATACTCTACAGTAATTACAGTTATTAATAAATGTTCAGAACTTTGTTAGAATAATTATTGAATTGAGAAGTCACAAGCGTTAATTTGTGTAAGAGCTAAAGGAAGTCGTTTGTACAGGGAGAAAAATATTTGGTTCTGAAGAAGAAGTACCGTCAAAGTCCCTTAGACCTTTCCACCGCGGAGCAAAGTGCATCGCCTATTGCCACCCCCGACCTAGCCACCCCAGTCTCGCCTCTTCGAGTTCCACCCCCCTATCGGCCGCCACCCCCCGCGCCTCAAAGTCCGTCGTCGAATAACGGAAACCCTCAACAAGATGAATCGAGTTTCGTCCACGAAGAGGCAACGATCAACGAGCAAAAAAATGGCGAGACCGGATTTTCAACGTCATCTCCACCCGTACCACCGCGGCGTAAAAGTCAAGATAAGATCAAGCTAGAGAACAAGGAAAACGTCGACAGGAATAAGGGAGGATCAGAGGCAGTTATCAAGGTGAGTTTTTCCTTTTCTGTATTCATTTGAAAGCCAAAGAATACGTGAAACCTTGTCAGCGCTACGAAGCGAGCAAGAATAGCTACAATTATTATCGCGACGATCTTAATTAAAGAAAAAAACGTAAATAACTGATACAGTTTCACGTTTCTTTGTACGCACGCTATGTAGTGTTTTGTCCACACTTCTTTTGGTTGTGCTTGTGCACACGATAAAATGGCTCAACGCGTTTCCGCTTTATCGCGTAATTACTGCGAACGGAGATAATTTGGGTATTATTGTGCAACAATGTTGTCGCGTATATGGTTTTGGGTAGAAAGGTATACGCGATTACAGCGAATGTCATTTAATCGTCGACGTGGTATCACGATGTGTTCATTCTACGCTAAAAGCTTCATTCTTTCTGTCACGAACGATTCAATTCTCGTAATTAGAAGGGTGCGAGTTTCCGAAATTGCGTCGGGACCTTGAAAATTAGGGTGGAGAGACCTCTGGAGTCTCAGAAGTTTAAGACCTCGATATTCTAGAACTGGAAGTTTTTAACTCCGACATTTCGAAGTCCTAGAATCTCGAAATTTTCGAATACTGAGACTTTGAACATTCGGAAGACCGTGTTCCGTAATTCGGAGCTTGAGAATTTTCGAACTTTGAAACTTGGAATGAGAAATGTAGATGGTGCAAATTGCTTACACGTGTTTAGTTGTAGTGATTAAGGGTTGGTCCAAATCCTCCCATCTGAAACTATTCCGCTTCTACGATGCAATGAGAATCTAATACGCGTTAACAAATTTTCAATATCCTGATCCTTAACCCCTAATTTCTGGAACCCGCATACCTCTACGCTTACACACGATCTCGCATATCGTTATCTCGCTTACATTAGACGCATGAAAGTACTCCATAGATAAGCACCGCCATTTGGTTGTATTCGTCTAAAGCGTCCACGCGCCTCTTTGCATTAGTGTTTAATCAGTAGTTGGACGTAGTCATTGTGTGTGTCACTGTTCGTTGAGACTTGGCAAAATTGGAGATATTAAAAACCGTGCAGGAAGATGAGGCAGTCGTGGCAAATCCAGGCTCAACCGAGCAATTAAGCTTCCGCGAACGGATGCAACGTTTCAACCGGATGGCTAGCGAAACCGATCTCCAAGGCAGACCTAACGGCGCTATCACGCCCACTAAAAAGCGATCAGACAAGGTAATAATCGATTAACCTTCTAATATACCTTCACCTCGCACAAAACAATTTGCCCTCTTTCACTCGGATCGCCGTTTTCTCACCGAACAATTATTTCGCCCGAATAGTCCACGGAATTATATACCTCGCGTCTGTTCGGCTCATTGACTAACAAATTACTTGGGCGTTCGTTTACATTCCAAGGTGCGCCTAGTTCGAACGCCTAATCGCGATCGGTAATCGCGTTAGTCCGCCGAGATATTACGGAATTCGATGATTGCTACGCGTAGGGAAACCGCTGCAAATAAATAAACGCTTGTTAATTATTGGAATTAAATGAACTCGTCCATTTATTAACCTTTAGCTGGATCGATTCGCAATTTTGATCACAATCATTGTATAGTGAAATCGTAGCCGACACTGACCGATATCGAATTCTATTTCTAGAGTTCTCCTTTTGTGTAAGAGATTTATGTTCTGTAAAATATTTACGCCCTTGATTCTACTTCGTTAAATTAAATACGTAAGATTTTATTTTCGCTCATTGATTTCCTCGAGGATTGTTCAAGACTTCACAGCGAGTTAACAGCTGAATGAAAATGCGTATCGATCCATTTATTAACGGTTAATCTCGACTGAATTGCAGATTCGCATTCACAGTTCGTAACAGTTATTAATCGCTCACAAATCGTACTGTTATTAAATATAATCGCACATTTAACGTCTATTTTCTTCGTGCCGTTATAAGATATCGACAAATTACTTGGCTCTAACAGAAAGATTACGATCTTCACGCGGATGTAATTCATGTGAGAACACGCATAAAACAGCTCCCCGGCCTATAAATAAGTATCTTTTATTTCCTTGAGATAGCATCGCATAATAACACAAACGAGGTGTTTTTCTTTTTTAACGATTCAAATCGTAACTACCCATCTACGGCCAATGATGACCGCGCTATCGATGGCTTATACGCTTCCAATATAAATACGTGAACTGATTATTGTTCGCATGAAACAATTTGCAGCTTGAATATATTAAGGGCATATATTCATGACAATATGTACATAAATTACAGTATTTGTTATTAGACATACAATAGGGATGGTGAAGAACAAATAGGCTTGCTCTAATTAAATAAAGTACTAAGAAGCTCGAATATAGCTGAATTGTTTGAGCAGTTGTTTCAGAAGTCCAAAGTTGAAAAATTAATAAATGGAAAGTGGAGTAAAGATGAACATGAGGCCTATGTTCTTGTAGATATATTAAGGACATATATTCATGACAATATATACATAAATTACAGTATATGTTATTAGACATACAATAGGGATGGTGAAGAACAAATAGGTTTGCTTTAATTAAATAAAGTACTATGCAGTTCGAATATAGTTGAATTGTTTGAGTAGTTGTTTCAGAAGTCCAAAATTGAAAAATTAATAAACGAAAAGTGGAGTGAAGATGAAGCCTATGTTGTAGGGGAAGTTTACAGCGTATAAAGTCGACATATCGAAATAATCCGCAGACGAGGATATACATCCTTTGAGGGAGGAAGGGACACGCGGTGTGTACAGGTCTGACTGCCCATCTTGCATACCGAATAGACTACTAAGAATCCTTTTCTCGTATCCTTTACACGCGCGTCTCCCCGCCAGTCAGCTTCTTAGCATCTCTCTTTTCTCGTTCTTTTTCTCTCCGTTTCCCTTTCGTTGTTGTTCCCTCTCTCTCTTTCTCGCGTGTCGTTGTTCGTGCGCCGTTTATCGCGGCGAGCAATATTCATCGCATTTGAATATCCTGCGGGCGGTATCTCGCGTACCGATCAGGATGTTGCGTCGATGTTGCCGTAAATCATAATTAGCCGCGCCTGAAAATTAAAAGTGGAGGAGGCAGACGCGGAGAGAGAAAGAGGATCCTTTCCGCCGACTAAACTTGCTACGAGTACCGGCTCGTCCTTTACGCGGTCCGATTCTCCATCATAATTTCGATATGTTTATCGTGCCGAACGATTAAAAGGACCGGCCACGTGGAACCCTCGGCGAGAATCGGAAGGAAGGGATCGTCTTCGTGCTTGCTCGACTCGAACGCGGTACAAGTAGCGAACGGAGCTTCGAAACGCGTTCTGCTCTTCAACGCCGGAACGCCCAGAGGAAACGTTTATTGCGCCTGTTTATTCAGGGAAAAACGCAAATTCCGTTTTCGTGAACTTGTTCTCAAACATTTGCATACTCCGCATTAACGACAAGCGAATTTTGATACACGTACGGAACAATAGAGCATTGTCTGCTTGACCTACATTTTACCCTCTGCTTTAATCCCGGGGCCTGGGAGTGGGTCACTACAAGCCCACATCCCTTCTTTTTTATCGCTCAGGAATGCTATTTTTTACTTACCTTTAATACCTTTCATTTTGAAGATCAATTCGAAGTCGGAGGGATCATATAAATCTCTCAAGGGTATTTTCAATAGAATTACTTTTAGTGAATAGACACAGTCAGGTAACTTATCGAAGAGCATTTCACAGGTGGGCCATGGGATAATTATTTATTATTCAGCCGTCATCGTCCATTTGTGGCGGTCCGTCTTTCATGTACGAATCGAACGGGTCCGGTTGTTAATTTTTATTAGTCGTTAGCGTGGATAGGGTTTCGGGACATGGGGAGAGAATTTCGCCTCCGGACATCCTGTAATCTGTTGGTAGCTCGGAGTAAGCCGTTCTTCTGGTCGGAGCTTTCTTTCCAATAATTATCATGCACCGTGGCCACGGTATTCCGCCCTTCGCATCCTTAATGACTCGTTCGTCTAGCGTTGTGTCGCGTGCCGCGTCGTTGGCCGACCGATCGTCGCATCAACACGTTTCACGTAATTCTCCCCCGTGCCTTTCTTCGAAAGCCTCGTTATGGGTCATTGAATGCATCACGGTTCACGTGTCGATGAATGCTTGTATCATCGTGACGCTGATTATCGGCTAGACACCGAGAATCGTGATCGAGGGACGGTAAACACTCGCGACGTTTAAAAATACGGAGACGAAGCGTAATCGTTGACGGAATTTGTTTCGATTAATCGACGCCATCGGTTCGTAGGATATTTTGGTCGGAGGAGAACATTCCATTTTGTTAAAGATAGAAAGGAAATATTAAAACGATGCTGCGAAGTTAATGCGGTTATTCGTAGTCATCGCGCTTCGGGGCCACGGACCCGTTGCTCGTTTTTATGTAAATACGCCGAAAGTGCGGGTGGTAAAGAATACTATTAAGAGTTGTATCTCCGTGAGAATTTTCCTAATCGTATGTATATTTCTCCGCTTTCCGTGGAAACGGTGTTCGATGCTATAGCTTTAGTTACGACGAAAACGATGGGAATTCTACGCTTGACGTCTGTGTTCAAATTAACAAATTCTAATGTACCATCCTACTCTATCGTACACTCATTACGTTCAATATTTGAAACTGTCTATCTATGAGTGAAAGTCAATTACACACGGAGTCATAGAATAATTATAGAATTATCTTATCTTAAGATAAAGAGAGAACAATGTAAAATTTATCGTCGATAGAGATTATTTTCGGCGTTGGTGTACTCTCGTCGGTGATTTCGGTGTAACTCGGTTCCGTACTTGTCGACGAAATTCTCGAACAAGATCATCTAGCCAGGATAAAAAAACGATCGCAAAGACGACGAGTAGGAAGCAAAGGTCGAACAATCTTGGAAGTACGAGGCAAGTTTGCCTCTGGGGGTGTCTTGTCGGTGTTGTCGCGGATAGGATCATGCAAGCTGTGCCCCTCGTGCCTCTCTCCTCGTCGTTACGACGGCGAACCTCTTTGCATATACATTCTGTAAGATTACTTTGTGCGGTTTACACCCTCGAGCCACCCTGGTGCGCTCGTCCTTCAGCGCGCCTCAAGCCCTCGACGAGGTTGCTCCTTTTGCTAGCAGGCAAACTACCCTGGCAAGTTTCACCAAGGGTCCCTAATGTATGCGGAACTATACGAGAGAAATTCCAAGTTCGGCATGGTCGTATTAGCTGCCTTTACGATGAGTATCTTCCAGCCGCTTCTCTCTCGTTTCGTCGGCGCGAGCAAAGCACCAACCACCGGGAAGACTCGTTGCTAGAAGAGGCGAACACGCGTGATCCTAATTAGAACGCGTCCTCGAGGTGTCGAAGTAAAAGCGGGTTTCTTGTCGGCCGTATCGCGAGACGCCCTCGACGAGTGCCGTTAAGCTGCGCGAAAGAGTGCACGCGGGAAAGTTTCTCCCCGATCTGACATTCTCGAGTAACTGTTACTCCACTAGGCAAATAGTGGTAATGGTCAGTTTAGATCGAAAAGCCAGGGAAGGTCTAAGAATCTAGAAAGAATATGAAAATGTAGACTTTGAGAATAGTAGACCACTTAGGTAACCTAGATCTGGAGAAATTTTAAAATTAAAGCAAGTCAAGACTTTATTAGTTTGAAGACATTTATAATATCGCGTGTTAAATCCTCGATGCTAGATTATGGAGCATGCGATATTCGAAACCGCGGGTTCTAGGTGGAGTATCGAAAGTGGGTCTAGAATATTTTGGTATTTTCCTTGGACGAACGATTTACGAGTTGTTGGTTAACTTGTTGCTGTCACGCGAGAGACCAACATAGCGAATTCATTTATGCTTTGTCCTTCTAATTAAACGGATCTAGTCGAATGGGAGTAACAGGCGATAAGCGTAGCTACCTCTTATTACTCGAGGGATGCGTCGATTGCGTTTTGTAGCTAATTTCAAGTTTTAGAGTTACGAGGTTTTCTAATTAGGGTAACGATACCGTTATCCTGGAGAATATTTTTTAGCCGCGATCAGGAAGGTTGAATGAGTCACTTTATGTATAACATTTTTATTATCCTCGTAATAAAATGATTCTTTACTTTAAGAATAAATCATACGATATAAGATAATTAAATTGATGCACCTTTATGAAATAATTTATCAGCGGCTAAACGTATAGTGGCAGTTCAATGATAATTGAATACCGATAAGGTTTTAATAA